TTTGGGAAAGGTTAGAATAACTTCTTTTAATCATTTTAATATTTTTTTTTTGTGCGAGCACATACTACATGTTACAAGTTAAAAAGGTATTTTTATAAGGAATCCACACAACTTGAACTCTCGTATATTTTTTTGTTTTCAAATAAATATTTGTTAAATCATTAAAGAACAAAGTAAAAGAATTACAAGATGAAAGTCCCCTAATATCTAGAGGTGATAAAAATCGATCAAACTTACCAACCCAACTTGAGCCTAACCCAAAATTAGGAGTTGAGTTGAGATTTTCAGCTCATTTATGATAAATGGATCAAAACGTTTAACCCATTTAATTAAATAGGTTGGTTGGGTAAATGTTATTAATCCGTTTTCAACCCACAAACCCATTTAATTTTAATATAATAATTATTTAAATATTACAATGTATTAATCTAAGTATTAATTTATAAATTAAAATGTTGTATTATTATTTATGTTATAAAAATACAAATATAATTTTTATATTTTTTTCTTTAAACCGACAACACTAGTCACCTTTCAAATCATTTCGAAATTACATATCTTTAATTTTATTTGAGCATTTTTTTGTATTTGTGAATTGGGATTGTGGTTTTATTATATTTTGAAAGTTTATTTAAGTTTTAAACTAATTTAAATGGTGCAATATTTAGTTAATTTATTTATTTTTGTATTTTAAATGGGTTAACCCATTTATTTAATAGGTTGGGTTAAAAATTATATAAATAGATCAATCAGATAACAATCCATTTATCTGAAAGGTTGGGTTAGGTTGGAAATATTTATTCATTTAAATAAAAAGATTGGATTTGGTTGAATCTCCAACCCAATTAATAAATGAATTGAACCTGAACTCAAACCATATCTACACATTGTGAGCTCTACTAATATGTGTTAGATTCGATGATGACCCGTATTAATAATTTATCTCTTTGTAAAACCGATCATATATAAGTCTACAAAATTGGTCACAATAACAAATCTTGTGATGTCTAGTTTTGGAAAACTTTTTCAATGTTAATTACAGCATCTTGATAGTTAGCATAACCTTATTCCAATTGTATAGATTGTCCCTTTGAAGTTAAAGTTCCAACCACTAAAGATGAAGTTCAAGTTGCCTTAGTCGCCAATGGGTTACCGGTTGGAACGTTGAAACCTTCTCCAAAAAAAATAAAAATATAAAATATATATATATATATATATATATATATATATATATATATATATATATATATATATATATATATATATATATATATATATATATATATATATATATATATATATATATATTGGTTCTAATTTGGTAAAAAAAAAAAAGTTTTGGTTTAAATAAAAAAGAAAAAGAAAAATGTAAGATCTTTATTGATACAAAACTAGGTGTAAAATTTATGCCTAACATTGATTTATTTAAAAGAAAATTTATATATGAAATTTTAAATATTTAAAAAGTTTGAATTTATAAGAAAAATTAAAAAAAATATTGAATTATTAAAACTAAAATATATATTTTTTTCTTTTTAAGTTTAAACAAGTAATTTAGATAAATAAACAGAAAAACTAATTGAGTTTTAATTTTGAAATTTTAAAATTACAAAGAAAATTATATTTATTATAACTATTATATTTAAATATTATTTTGAATTTAATAAAAAAACCATTTAATTGAAAATAACAATAAAACAACCTGTGGTAAATCAATAGTAATCGATAATAAAGTCATATATTACAAAAACATTTTTATTTATTAGAACTTTATTTATATATAAACTTATTGTCCCATCATACCATGGACTTTATGCCCCCTTCCTCTCTTTCACTAAATCAAGCAACATCTATTGTCATCCCTTTTCAACAGTAGCTTCAATGATAGCCATGGCTGCTAATACTAAACCCACCTTCTCTCTCCTCTTACTCGCGAGGCTCTCTGCTACACTCGTCGCCATTCTTCTTCTCAGTTGGGCTCTCTACTTCACCACCAGCTTCCTTCCTCACACACTCTCTCAGCGAGACCTCATTTACTCTGTAACCAATTTCCTTCAAATCCCGCATTCTTTTGTTTCTTTAATAACTGGGTTTCATTTCACTAAAGATCTTGACCTTTTGTTCTATGTTTATGTAATTAGAACATGCATTTTGTATCTGAGCTCATGAATATGTTTCTTTAATCATAATATCAACAGGTTCTGCATCCTTTATTGATGGTGATTGGTTTCATCCTCATAAGCGGAGAGGGTAATTCCACACATATCTTCAAATTCATAATATTCTTTTAAAGTTATCAAAGATTTTAATTTGATGACAACCCTTTTTTCTTGAATTTGAGGCGAGAAAAACCCATGTTTTTTCTTGAAAAAAGGTAATGGAATTATTTGTTAATTTTGAGGATTAAATTGCAGCAATATTGGTGCATAGATGGATGCCTGGTTCAAGAAAAAGAAAGAAAATGGTGCATTTGTGGCTACAAGGAGTGGCATTGACAAGTGCAATATTTGGGATTTGGACAAAGTTTCAAGGAAGAGAAGGAGTAATAGCCAATTTCTATAGCTTGCATTCTTGGATGGGTCTCCTTTGTGTCTCTCTTTTTGGAGCTCAGGTTCTTCTAAATATTTTATCTTATAATATATTCACAATCTTATATATAATAATGTTTTAATTTTGTCTTGTTAAATTTATTAGCAGTGAAAGAAAGATTCTTTACACTTAGTATAGGTCAAAGTTTGGATATCTTTTTTAAATAAAAACGAAACTCTTTAATAAAATGTTAGTAGAGTATTGGTAAAATACGTAACACGCTTATAATAGACAGAAAATGAAAAAATATTTTAAAAGAGGGTTTTTGTTGGAAGGGAGTAGCACAAAATTATTAGAAATTGCCATGTGAAGCTATTGGTTGCATGGTCCCTCTCCACAACCACAAGTGAACAAACACTCCATTATTGCTTCTATTATTTATAAAACATCTTTAATGTATGTATTAGAATCAAAACATATAAATAATGAATGACATGAAAATTCATAGTAAAATCAAATTTTATTTATGTACTATAAATTGTACAATTTCAGTTAATTAAAGTCTATTTTCTAAAATTATTACTATAAAAAATATATATTATTATAATCTTTATTTATTCTATTGAGATTTTATTGTATGCAACTTCTTGTTATTATAAATAATATAATATATATAGCACCGTTGTAGATTGTATTTGATTTGACTATCTTATCCAAATTAGGCCTTGATCATCATTCACATTTGACAATACTTAAAACCGTGTAATACTATTATTTCGTATTTATTAATGTATCTTTGTACATGTTTGATATTTGAATTTACAAAATTTACATTATTGTGAGAATATTTTCAGTTTTCTTTTTGTCATCAATGTAGTGGTTGATGGGTTTCTTAAGTTTTTGGCATAGAGGCGAGGTACGAATGACTAGAATACGGTTTTTGCCTTGGCATGTTTTCATTGGTCTTTATACATACGGGCTAGCTGTGGTGACCGCCGAAACGGGGCTTCTTGAGAAGTTGACTTTCTTGCAAACCAAGGGAGTTGTGTTGAAACACTGCACCGAGTCATTGATCGTTAATGGTTTAGGGCTCGGATTGGCCACGCTTTGTGGGGTTGTGATATTAACCGCAGTCTCACCCAAGCAATATCAAAGTAGTCACACACCAAAGGTTGTGCATTCAGATAGCAAGTGCTTGACTTCTTAGCCAAATTTGTGTACATATGCACATTCGTTCAAAATGCTTTTACATCGTTCTTTAATAAAACAAAATATTACCAAATAATCCATTTGACCTATAGGTATTGTTTGTTATTATGCATGACATAACAAAACAAGACATGACATACCATAACAGGATAATTTTGTATTAAGTTTAACGTGCATTAGTCAAAGAGGGGGGCTCATGTCATTTATTTTGTCCCATTGGAAAAGGTGAAACAAGTACTTACTCTAGATCACTTGTCTTTCGATCAAAAGACATGAATAACTTTATTGTCTTAATTATTGTAAATAGCGTCTATTAACTTTCATCAAAGCTTGTATCATATAGGGGTGTCTTTTTAGCCAACCCCATCATATAACAAACATAATCAAAGAGACATATGCTATGGGTGAACTTCTCTCTTTCTGCTAGTAAACATAGTCCTTAAAGGAATGAATCTAACTAATTTAAACATGAGATATCAAATTCAAGTTGATTTTAAAGTACAAGGTACACACGGTGTAACGCCCTGATTCTCAGGTATTGCTTAAATACGATTTATTGGGTTAAGCTCTACTCGACGAGTTGGTTGACCTACTCGTCGAGTAGCAGCGGGGTGGGATCGCGTGTTAAGTGACCTACTCGATGAGTCCATGTTAGACTCTGCGAGTAGGAGCTGGGAGCGGGGTGGGATCCCTTGTTTGGTTAAAGCATACATGTTTCATCCCTCGTTAATTTAATTTTGCACGCTTAATCCCTTACAGTACCTGAAATGACCATTATGCCCTTTTGGTATTTATTTTCTGATTAATTTAATGTTCTTCTTATTGTTGTTAATTAAAAAAAAGAATACATATTATGAGCCACTTAATCTCTTTATCTCCTTTCCAATTCACTTAATGTTCTTCAAGATCCCGATCACCATATTCGTTCACAAACTCGGTTCCTGGTTCCACCTCCAGTCACCATCTCCGTCTATAGACTTAGTGCCCGACAGCAGCTCCGGTCACCATCTCCGTCCATAAACTCGAAGTTGCGACTCAAATACAAAACAAAAATCCAATCTACAACTTAAACCCAAAACAAAAATCAAACCTGACGAATTAAACCCTCACCTACTATTCCGACGACGCTATCAAACTCTTACCCTCTAGTATTCCGACAATGACATCTATGTGTGAGATCGAGTTGTCAAGAGCTCGAGGATTGGGTTTTCAAATCTAGTTTCTGGCTACAATGGTGGTTGTCGGATCCATGGCCTCATTCCTCACTTGAAATCTGCACTACCATGGAAATCGACCCTCACCTTACCCACCCCATTCGCCAGTTTAAAGCTCAAGACCACCACCGTCTTTCCATCGAGCACCTGTTTAAACTCCTCCTTATACCGCCTGTTACTTGGAAAATAACCATAAACCACCACCTTCTTCACCAACAACATCTTTCTGTACAAACACCAGCCGATAACAACTCCAATTCGAAAACCACCTAACCAGTAATCTCATCACCCCAACAACTTCCACTAGAAACCCCACCTGCAAGAACTTCAAACACTAATTACAGAATCTCGAATAATCACCATTACTACCCAAATACCACCAGTCGACCTCCTTTTTGTAGATCTGTAACCCTCTCGCTAGATGGAGAGGCGGTCCAATGACTTGGTTTCCAGTGAAGGTAACAGGAAAAGGGGAAATGAAAAAGGGAGGGGTGGATTGGGGTGTGGCGTGGTGATGAGGGTTTTATTCTGTTGTTAGAGATGTCTTGGAGTGGCCGGAGATATCTTTGAGTTGTTGGAGTATTGGAGTCGACGGTGATGGTGGTGGTGATGGGGGAAGAGATGAGATATGAAGGTGCTTAGATTCAGAGTCGATTTCTTTTTCTAAAGGACAACAAATAATTATTTTTTATGATAAAAAAATCAATAAATAAATAATAAATAACAAATAAATAGAAAATAAATCAAAAAACAAATAATTAAGGCAAAACGGTCTTTTTATGTTCGGATGGATTAAGTGTGCAAGAAGAAACACACCAGGGATGGTCCGAGTTAAAATTTGAAAATAGGACTAAACACGCTTTCTGACATATTCACGAGGGACGACTGGTGTAATTTACTCAAAAATAAAACTAAAAAATCGTGTTGTAGGCTGTTTTCCGGGATTTATATGGTCTAGTGTGGCCCAATCTGATTCATTATTTATATTAACATTAGTACTTTGTAAGCATTTTCGTTTATGATTTTATATGTACTACTTATTTGAGAAAACTACAAATTTAGTATTACCTATTTTGCATTTTAGTTTATGATTTTATATATACTACCCATTAGAGAAAAATACAAATTTAGTACTTCGTCGGTCCCATATTTATTGTTTATTTTAGATTTTGAAGTGTTTATTCATTAACTTTGATCTTAAATATTTTAATATTTGTACTATGTATTACTTGATGAAACTTGTAACAATAAAAAAAACATTTAAAACACAATTTATTCATATATTTTACATCAAGTATTATATATCAAAACCAACAATATTTAAGGTTAAAATTGAATAATAAATACTTCAAAAGTCAAA